CTGTCATTGACGACTTTGAAAGGCTTCCATTCATTGGCGTGTACGTCAAGTAGCTCCGAAGGCTGATAGTCACCCTTGTAAGCCATTTTTGGGCAAGTGCGAATAAAGAAACCTATAGCAAGCGCTTCGTCAGCATTCGAAATGCAAAACAAAAAAAGAGATGCCGCACCTTAGGAAGAGCTGCGTCACTGACCAAGATAGTACCACTGACACTCGCCGAGGCCAGCTTTGCGCTGCAATTGCAGCACCAAAGCAATTTCTCGAAGGGCGCTTACCTTTCCGAGCTCCAAGTGAGCATAATCAGGGTCATAGAAGAGATAAACGCTAGAGAGGCATGTTGGCAACAGATCCAACACGCCCACCGCTATCAGCTTGTCGTTCACTGCTCAAAGTGCATTGACATTCAGCAAGGCGAAGGGGGCGGGGGCAAGCAGAGCGGTCATGCGCGACGTATCAAAATACTCACAGCGATACTCGTGGTGATAAAGGCCATAATCGACCGCGTCTGGCGACTGCAAATCAATCGCCCCACTTGACTGGGTCTGATCACACGAAGGGTCGCCTCTGCGTGAGTTTTCGGTTCATGCGGCGGTCCGGTACAACCACTCACGCCAGGAAAAGGAGCATCGCACAAGAACCTCGCGAAACCGTCGGGCTTTGAGACCTTGTCGTGCGCCTCGTGATGAATCCGCATCTGATACCTTGTGAACAAGTCGTACTTTTCTTGCGTATACGCACCTGGCACCAAGCTCGTCTGTAGAAGATGCATACGATCAGCACTGCTCTCGGTGCCCCAACGCTCCGATCATCACACGGACCTTCAATCGAAGTGAGCGGGCAAGGCGCGAGAAGTGTGAAAGAGGCATCAAGTCCACCGCAGGTTGCGCCCCGTTCTCCGATCCTTGCCCATGAAGCGCAAGTGCAGGTGTTGAAGATGTGCGAGGAGATTGCTTGCGATCTTGGCGCGCACGCTGAGCCATTCGACATCTCTCGTTGTGCAAGCGAGCTACCAAAGCGCGTCGCCGTTGATGTTGATGCTCTTTAGTCGCGGCGAGCTCGGAGAGAAGGGCGCAAATGGGCGGCGCAGATGATCTCAAATCTTGCTCAACACCACAAGCAGCATCTATCTGACGCCACTTGTCAAGCAGGCTCGACGCTCTAGCGTATCTGCCTTTTGCTTTGAATGAGCCAGACAGCTCAGGGATGCTCTCCACTTCAGTGACCTGCTCTTCCAAGTTTGAAAGTGCTCGCCTCTGAGACTTGCTGATCTTGAAGTCGCTTGCCTTGAGCCTGCGTGGCGCATACTCGGGGTGTTTGAGCGCTTAGGCTCACAACAATTTCCTTTCCACCCCCCGTCCCCCCCAAATGCATGACGTCTCACCGGATGGGTACTTGAGGACAACACGTTCTCTCATTGTCTACGTGGTAGAGGTACGAACCGCTCCTTCGCCAGCCCCTATCCAATAGCTCTTGGTACGCTTTTGTGGTCAGCGTGTGCGCCTTTCAGGGGGGTCGATGCAGGGAGATGCGCGATGAGCCACTCAAGACTTCTACCTTTCCTTGCTTGCACCCGAGACGATGCGACTCACCCAAATGCCATATGACACGCTGCTCTTTGCAGTCGACCTCTTTCCTGGCGCGCCACAGTAGCCGCATGTTGATGCGTTCATACCTGAGCAAGTGTCATGATAAGTCAGTTGAGTGTTCACGGTGTTCAAGAGGATCTGATAGAATGGCAGATCATCACGAACCAATGGGCTGGATGATGCTGTACTTGTCCATGACGCAAGGTGCGCCCTGCAAGTATTATCTTTCTGTAGTCGTGAGTGCGAGTGCGAGTGCGAGTGCGAGTGCTCGCTTGACCGATGTTGCTTCAGCAGCTGGTCGCCCTTCTACTCGTGACTCGAGTCGGCAAACACCTTGCGACTCGAAATTTGGTAGATGATACCATTCGCTGCCTCGCTGCCTTGCGTTTGAGCTGATGGCAAAGAAGGACACGAAGCGTCTGTCAATGGGTCGATCATCGTCGCGAAGGATGGAGGTCGAGATCGAGGCAGGCACGCAACAAAACAACAAACACGCTCGACGACGTCCCCGCCCCTCCACAAAGG